AAAAAGAATTTTTTTTTGAAGTCCTAGTTAAATTTTCACATAATCTACAGATTTAACTTTGGTGAAAGCATGACTGAATTTTGCCAACAAACAGAAATATAATAAAACAATAATCTTTTTGGTTTGGGAAAATGTCTAGGACAAAATAAATGGAGAAAAAAAAGGAGAAAAGAAATCAATTACATAAGTCAAAAAGAAATCTATCATGAGAAAATAAATTTAACAATTGAAAAAAATCAATCATAAAAATGGAATAAATGAAAACATTTACAACAAATTAAACAAGAAAAAAGCAAGCTTCTATTCAATTAAGTTATATAGCGATACAACACACACATTATATATATATATATATATATATATATATATATATATATATATATGTGTGTGTGTGTGTGTGCGTATATCTATGTATATTTAAGCAGCATATCTTCATTCAAGCATGTTTGGTTGAATAATCTGGACATATTATGTTGATTTATTTTTATTTTAATCCTATCAAATTCACAGATCAACTTCTTAATGTTGATAAATTCATTAAGGAAGCTGCCATAGTTTTTTCATTACTTTTATTTTCAAGTACTTTCAATCTTTTCCAAGATCATCTTCATGTGCATTTACAAAAATATTCACACGTATGAATTACATTAATTTTTTTGTCTTAGCAATTCATGATCTTGGATGAGATGGAAAATAAAAGAAATGAAAAAAACTATGGCAGCTTCCTTATTAAATTTAATATCAACATTATGAATTCAAGAGGATTAAAATTAAAATAAATGGACATAATATGTCCAGATTATTCAACCAAACATGCTTATATATCTCACACACACAAAATAAAAATGATGTATATACTGACAGACATGCATACACATTACTTATTCTGAAATGGAAATTTCAGAAACAAAAGACAATAGTATATATTATGAAAGAAACAAAATAAAAAGTATATAAACTAAAATCTTGACAAATATCAAGACTTAAAGTAAAAATACTAATAAATTGAAAGAAAAACATAAAAGTGCAAGAATAAAAATAAGCAAATTACAATGAAAACCAAACCCAAAATTGTTGTATAATTCTGTTTTATTTCTATTATTAAAGTTTCTTCAATCCATTTGGGACAAAATTGTTTATAAAAAAAAGAAGAAAAAAAAAGGAAAAAAAAAAGAAAAAAAAAAAGAAAAAGTCTAATTATTTAAGTAAGTTCAAAACAATGGTGAATTGATTTTTTTCTCAATCTTCTTCCCTGTCCTTAAATATTATTTTCAATGCATCTGTGAATGTGTATGTTTATCACCTTATGTGGTGTTTGTGTGTCTACAAAAGGACTGACCACTAAGAGAATAAACACTTCTTAGAGTGGTTAGTATCTTTTGAAAAAGGACTAACTACAAACATGTAGTTTCCTTTTAATTTAAAAAATAAATATAAATAAAGAGATAAATATAAATAAAGAGATATACATCAGGAATTGTTTTTTTTTTCTGTCATAGGATGGAAGATAAAAATGTCCCAGAAGAAATTGTGAGTTTATTTCCAATTAAGGAGGATGTAGCTGGAAGCACAGAGAGAGCAGTCAATATTAAAGCAATTACCATAAAGAAGAAAAACAAAAGTTTCAGCCAAATGGAGACATTTTGTACAAAACTAGAGAGAGGGGAAAGGTCACAGCAAAACTATCAGAACTGGAAACATTTATAGAAAAAAAAAAAAAAAAAAAAAAAAAAGCCTTTAAAAGCAGGCAGACATTTTAAAGAAAATTTTTCTCTGGTTCAAAATTTGGTTCCTCACAAATGATGGACACTTATTTTTTGTAATCTTTGGAAGGAATTAGGAAACCCAACTCTGATAGAATATTGGTCCTCACAGACCAGAATTTTGTGCTCCTTTTTTTATACTTTAAGTGTATATTCACAACCATTTTTATCATCATATTTTTCTTCTTTTTCAACCAAAATCTAATACACAATATTATGAAATTGGTTATAAATAATGAAAGTTAAAATTTATTTCTAACCAGAGACCTGATGAATACAGAAATTTTAATAATAAAAGTTGTATTAACAATAATAGCAGTAATATTAATAACTGTATTTATAATAACTAATAATAAATCAGAATCATCATCATAACAACATTGGTGACAAAACTGTAACAGAAAGTGATGATGATAATAGTGATGATGATAGAAGCAATCTCAGTGAAAATAATATTAACAAAATCATCCATTAACTGATCATAAAAAATTTGAACAATTTAGGCATTTTACATAAACAAAA